ACTCACACAGAGACGCACATAGACTCACACAGAGTCACACATAGACTCACACAGAGACACACATAGACTCACACAGAGTGACACATAGACTCACACAGAGACAAACACGGACTCACACAGAGACACAAATAGACTCACACAGAGACACATAGACTCACACAGAGACACATTGACTCACACAGAGACACACATAGACTCACACAGAGACCCATAGACTCACACATACATACACACATAGACTCACACAGAGACACACATAGACTCACACAGAGATACACATAGACTCACACAAAGACGCACATAGACTCACACAGAGTCACACATAGACTCACACAGAGACACACATAGACTCACACAGAGACGCATAGACTCATACAGAGACGCATAGACTCACACAGAGACACACTTAGACTCACACAGAGACGCATAGACTCACACAGAGACACACATAGACTCACACAGAGACGCACATAGACTCACACAGAGTCACACATAGACTCTCACCGAGACGCATAGACTCACACAGAGACGCATAGACTCACACAGAGACGCATAGACTCACACAGAGACACACTTAGACTCACACAGAGACGCATAGACTCACACAGAGACACACATAGACTCACACAGAGACGCACATAGACTCACACAGAGTCACACATAGACTCTCACCGAGACGCATAGACTCACACAGAGACGCATAGACTCACACAGAGGCGCGTAGACTCACACAGAGACGCACATAGACTCACACAGAGACACACATAGACTCAACACAGAGACACATAGACTCCCACAGAGACACACATAGACCCACCCAAAGACCCATAGGCTCAAACAGATAACTTTAGACTCACACAGAGACCCATAGACTCACACAGAGACCCATAGACTCACACAGAAAACCATGAACTCACATAGAGACCCATAGGCTCAAACAGAGAACTTTAGACTCACACAGAGACCCATAGACTCATACAGATATCCACAGACTCACACAGAGACTCATAGACGCACACAGAAACCAACAGATTCACACAGAGACCCATACACTCACACAGAGACCCATAGACTCACGCAGAGATCAACAGAGTCATACATGGACCCAGAGCCCCACATAGAGACCCATAGGCTCAAACAGAGAACTTTAGACTCACACAGAGACCCACAGACTCACACAGATATCCACAGACTCACACAGAGACCCATAGAAGCGACCTGGTGCCTATCGCAAATGATAGCTGCTCAACTATATGTGGTGGCTTATCATCACCATCATGATCATCACCACGTGGACATTTACATTGGAGCAGCTAATTGCAGTCAACTCTTGATTATCCACGCTAATGATGACGACGGTGGCCGCGCGTTAATTAACAATCGTCGGATAATTTAGAAAATATATATTTTCAGCGGATCTCCATGCCAGAAAAGCCCCCCCCCCCCCCCCACTAATATTACTTAGAAATTATGTTCGAGTTAAGAAAATGTTGTTCGTCCGTGAACGAAAATGTTTCAATAAATAAAGTGCTGCTTCGGTGTTTTATTACCAATGTCCATACGAAAACCCCACATTCACTTAAACAGAATGGCACCTTTTTTTTGCCAATATCAAAGTTACGAAAAATATAAGAATAAGTAGTTTAGCCTTTCTGAAAATAAAACAGCAGTTGTTTTTTTATTAAGAAGTTCAAACTACAAATTTAAAACATTTTGCAATTGATCAAGTTACTGAGCAGTAACCACACACAGATAGTGATTTTGGCGAACATCCAAACAAACATGGCTCTGATGATAATCTACGATGCATCATTGTCTTTGAAAAATCATTGGCCGACACAGGAGAGAGAGAGAAGCTTTCTTTATATTGGTAGGAACCTCCTGGTTACTGAACCAGCAGCACACAGGGGATTATTGTGTCTGTCCGTCCGTCGTGCATCCAAACATGGGAGGGGGTTGGGCTGGGTGGAGAGGAGAGGGTGGGGAGGGGCTGAGTGGGGGGTGGGGAGGGGCTGCTCACCCCGTGGTGCCCCCCTTATAAAACTCAACGTTTCACCTACTCACGCCGCCTTGTGCACGCCCTCACAGTGGGGCAAACTGTTGCTGAACACACCACGTGGTGGTGCCGCCATTGTTGTTGTTGACCCTGGCCACTGAGCGAGCAACCCAACGTTCCTGCCAGCTGCCTTCCGCAGGAGGAACGTGTTGGCCCAGCCTCACCGTCAGTGTGAGCCCAGAGGCTAACGCCGAAAGGCGGACAGCACAAAAGACGATGCCCCACGTGTCAGAGCGTTCATAGCTCGGGGTGAGCAGCAGCCAGGTGCATCATGGGATATTTTTTTTTTGCCGGTATCAAAGTATGACAAAATTAGAATAAGGGGCCGTCCGTAAATGACGTCACGCATCTAGGGGGGGGGGGTGGGTGGGGGGGGGGGTCAGACATTTGTGACGCTGTGTGACGAGGGGTGAGAGGAGGTTTGAGTAATGTGACGTCACATCA